AATCTCAAACAACAACAATTGTGAACAATTTAATTTTTTTATTTTCAGTTTTATATGATTTTAAAATGTTGGCAAACGTCAGAAAAAAATCATGGCCGATGAAATGAGAGAATGAATTTACCTTGTAATGTTTTTATCATGGTATTTTTTTTTTTTGGTGTTGCCGTAAATGTTTGCATTTTAAAGTTAAGTGATTTATAAATATTCGCCTCCCACACTTCTAAAAGTTTTATTTGAAAAAAACTGAAATTAAACTTTATTCTAAAAACGCTTACTTAATACTTAATATAGCAAGCCTAGTTCAAGTTGCTTTTAAAAACACTTACAAAAATGCTTGTCGCGTATTTACGTAGAATTATTAATTTTGAGTAAATTTTCTAATATTTAATCCTCAAAATATATAAATACATATACAAAAATATCACTATTTGTATGCAGAAATTAATGTTTCTGCATTCACCTGCAATCTAGCAACATATGTATACCCAGATACTTGCAACATACCACAATGTTATCATAACAGAATATTTACGTTTTTTGCTGTTAACTCTTGTGGTGAAATTCTATGGATTTATTTTTCAGCCAAACAATTTTACGTTCCAAAAATTTGCACCTTCTCTATCTATCTAAGTTCTCTGGTTTTAGCGACGAAAATTTAGCGTAGCGATTGTCAGAATTCTACTGCAGCACTACCAGCAGACATTGACAGCAGTTGGTCACGCCTATTTCTGTTTTATCGTTTCTTTTGACCGCATGTGTACTATTTACATTAATAACAATTTATGTATGTATTGATTTTTATGCTTTATATTACCCACCATGCATAGCATGAGAAATAGGCAACAATCGTCAATGGTAACAAATTGGCGACTCAACGATTTATTGCTATGGTGACAAATCGGCAACATAATTTCTTTCATGTCAACTTTGGAATAAATAAATTATCAAAAATTCCCAAACTTATAAATTTCGCGTCAACAGTATTACCCAAAATCGTCTAATTTATACTGAACACAGAATTGAAAAAATAGGAAGCCCCATAAGCGAAAGAAAGAATTAATTCCGTTTCTAAGTTCCAATTTTTATTAAAAAGAATAAAATTATTCCAAATATCGCCTGAAGCGATAAAAAACGACTCATTCAGGTAATAAGAAACCGACCCGCCCAGGCGACTTGCCTTCGGCGGACGTTTTAGAGCGACTGGTAATAGGAAATCGATACGATGACAATATTACCGGCAATAAATTTGTTTCCGAGGACGAGACGTTTTCTTATTGCCGGCACCAAAAATTGTTTGGTGGGTAATTTCAGTTACCTGATTCAAGTTTCTAATAAGTTCACAAAAGTATTTGAAAACTTGTATCAGCTATACAGCGTTGCCACAGACACATTTTTTTTCCTACCAAAATTTCCTACCATAACCAACCAAAACTTACCAACCATTTTTTTGAGTTTTAATATATATTTTTTCAATGACAAATTTTTTAAAAACATACATAGCTAACATAACATTTAGTAAAACTAAAACACAGCTAGTACAATAAAAACAAATTAACTGCATATAACAATTCATTTTACTATACATACATACATATCGTCATTAGATACGAATAAAGACGCGAGCTCAAAAGTTGACCGCGAAAAAAGACGCTTAAAAAATTTTGGCGAAGAAGGACTCTTAGGGCCTGTTACTCAATGTCTGGTTAACACTAATCTGCGGTTAAACATCTTTATCAACGTGTTCGACTCCATGCATACAACAGGGAGTCGGTATCGTCGATAACTATGTTTAGGGAGCGTCTCATTACGCTGCATTACAATATGCTGCGTAGCAAAATTCTGCATTATGTAAAAAAATTCTACTCGAACAAAATTCTGTTTTTTTTTAATTCTGCTTTTTTTAATTCTTCTTTTTCAAAATTCTGCTTTTTGAAATTCTGTCTCCCAAAATTCTACTTTTCGCACTTTCGTCTTTCAAAATTCTGCTTTTGTGGTAGAGAAAATGTGAAAAAATTTACCATATTCGCATCTGTGGCTTAAACCTCCATTTAACTTTTTATTTTCAATATATGTTAACAATATTTTGTTTTAGTAAATTATAATATTTTTTGCAATTCTCTTTAAAAAAGCTGTGTGGCTTAAGTCACTTCTTTTTTTAATAGTTCTTCTAAGCTGTTTATTTTTTTTTATCACTTGTTTTTTCTTTCTTATTCTTTCTCCATTTTCCTTTCTGTAAATTTGGGTTTTCGCAAAAATAAGTTCTTTCTGTAAATTCAATACAAGATTATAAAACTTTGATTTGCTTCTACCAACAACTACTTTTAGCCGGCGATGCCACGCTTCGACACTATTTTGTGTTCTAGGAAAGGTTTCTGTTTCCGATGCATTGTTGTCATATACTGACCAAAACTCAGGAGAATATTTTGGGTTATCATTATTTCCAGCAATGTAATTTTTGTCAAACCAAATCAAAATACTTTTGACGTCTTCATCTTGGGAGTAATTAAATAAAGTTTCGAAATAATTCGGTACTTCGCTTGGCGGTACGAAAGCTAAACTTTTGATCATGCGAATTTGCAGAGCGAAATCTTCTGAATTGCCATACTTCCGAACCAATCTATACATAAACAACATTCTATTAGTATTACAAAAAAATCAAATATGAAAGGGGGTTTAAGTTACTTCTCTTTCTGAATTTTTCTCCATATGATTTGTCCAAAATGGAACAAACAGCCGCGTAAATCAGTATTTGGAAAACTTTCTTTAATCGCCGATATGATACCCATTTCGAAATCGCAAACTATACGTGAAGGGCTTAGATTTAATTCAAAGCTAGATGCAATCGCCAACAACTCGTGAAAAACGGCTCTATACGACTTCAACGTTTTCTTGCTCATTAAGCAAAAAACGAGAGGTACGATTTCGCCATGTATTCTGCCATGTATGGAAAAAAGTTGCCTCATAACGGGAGGCACGACATGAAAAGTACCATCAACAGCCCAGCAGTTGCTGGTGCTTAGCAGTTGCAATGAAGATTTTGTGCCAAAAATTATAAAAAAATCGTTATCTACCCACTTTTCTGACAAAACAAAAAGTTCGCCTTCAAGGACATATAAATTCAGTGGCATGTCAATCTCATCTAACGTATTTGGTTCTTTCATTTTCACCATTTTATTCCTTNGTTTACTAAAAAATAAACATAAAGCTTAAAAAACAATCATTCTTGGTTTATAAAAGCTTAAAAAACGTAATATTATCGAAAGGACACCTTGTTTATAAGCGTGTGAATTTAAATTTGGATTAAATTTAAAAAAGATAGTATTTTTTATGATAAAAACATAACAAGGTAAAACCATTGAGAGGCAGTCTGACGTTTGCCAACAATATAATTTTAAAATCAAAACTCAAACTCACACACACAATCTCATTTTCAATCTCAAACAACAACAATTGTGAACAATTTAATTTTTTTATTTTCAGTTTTATATGATTTTAAAATGTTGGCAAACGTCAGAAAAAAATCATGGCCGATGAAATGAGAGAATGAATTTACCTTGTAATGTTTTTATCATGGTATNTTACATTATATTTTAATACAGAATTTTGCAATTCAGTATTTTGAAAAGCAGAATTGTCAAAAGCAGAATTTTCAAAAAGCAGAATTTTCAAAAAGCAGAATTTTGAAAACCAGAATTTTTTTAAGCAGAATTTCGTGTTCCGAATTTTGTACTGGCAGAATTTCGATACCAACCCCTATGTTTAACCGTAGTGTTAACCAGACATTGAGTTACCGGTCCTTAACATAGGCGAGGGCAAAGAAAGACGCGTTAACCTCTTTGACGGCGAAGAAAGACGAAGAAGACTTATTTTCGCGGTCAACTATGTTTGCGAGTATACGAATTCCCCAAAGAGTTTTTTCCGGAATGATGTTGAATCCATTTTTACGCGTCTTTTTTCGCAAATTTTTTTCACGCATCCTTTTTCGCCGTCAAAACACCCGAGCGTATTTATTCCTCTCAAGTGACTATATTATTATTATTACGTCGGAGATACCCGCGTTGCGACCTAAGAAGATATATTGTGCTAAATCCTAATTGTAATCGCTCCAACCTTAGCCTATTTAAAAAGATCAGCACTTTGGATGAAAATTTTTGATGGAGAAGACAATCCTTTTCAAAGGTGCATCAATCTACTATACATGCTTCGTGGACAGGCACATAGAATATACTCTGGGGTTTCCTTCACCGGCCCACAAAACCTACATCAGTCTCTACAGAAAGACCCTTTAATTCAAGGTATCTTTCGGAGTTCCTCCTGAAAAGTTATGAATCTCTTTGATTGATCTGAGGAATCATGTTTGCGGCCGCCGTTATACGAACGCACCGGTGAAATATTCATGTAAACAAAATTGCTAAAATGTTTGGAGATACATATTTTCTATTTTTCTCAAATAACTATTACTCGTAGTCCCGAAACCTACCAAATTCCAATCAAGCCTACCAACCTACCAAATGGAAAAAAACCGACCAGTTTTGGTAGGAAAAGCCCATGTTTGGAAACACTGCAGCCAAAGCACACTTTATTTTCCCTCAACAATGATTTGATTTAACTAACAATATTATCCAATCAAGATTGTGATTTTGGAATTATTCAGCCTTATCATGAGTTTCATTTTCCCCGAACCGGTTCACTTTTCACTCTTGGTTTCCATGGTTTTACTATGGGCGGATGACAAATTTTCGGGTGAACTTTTTTTCAGGCGAAACTCAGGATAAGGCAGATTAACAAATCTACATTTGTCCCACCTAAAAGGCTCAAGTAAATTGTAGACTTTTGCGAACTACTCGTACTTTAAAACATATTCTGCCTTATCCTGAGTTTCGTCCGAAAAAATTTCACCCGAAAATTTTTATTCCACTCATAGTAAATATATGGAAATCAAAATTGGAAAGTGAACCGGTTCGGGGAAAATGAAACTCATGATAAGGCCAATTATGCTAATTGTGTAATTACCAATTGAAATAAATATGTAATTTACCTTTCATTGAAATAGTTTCCGCTTTTACTGCAAAATCCATCTCTGATAAATTAATGCGATAATTACAGCTTTGATTTGCAATATCGAAGACTTTTGTTTGCTTTTCACTTGTGATTACTATATATTGTCTATCTGTCAAAGAATCTAACCCAATGCTAGGGCTTCCACTTACGCCACTACTGCTAGCATTGCTACTACTGCTGTAAATATTTCCACCCGGAGTACTTGATATTGTGTTGGCAGTTGTCGGTGTAAAAGTAGGGCTCGTTTTACTGCTACTCTTTGTTGGGGTTCCTTAAATTGTAAAAATAATAATACAACATAAGTGTATGTTTTAGCATTTAGTATTTATGAATATTCAGTAAGTTTTAAATAAATGCATACAAAAATTTAGGCGGAACCTGAATCATCTAAGCTTTTGTTCTGTACTGAGAACTACTTTGGATACATACTTTTAAGTATTTAATAGCCGATAATTTTCAAAATCGGGTACTTTTAGAATCGGTTGCGTTGTTTTAATGAAACCAATTTTAAAATTTCAAAATGTCTACTGAGTTCAAACTTTCGGGTTTTCCACAGATTTTCTTTGGGTTTGTATTTGTTTTCTTAAACTAATACTTACGATCTTTCTTCTCATCTCGCCAAGCCTCAGACGAATATGGAATCAATGAGCCGAATGAGTCTAAAAATGACATTGATGTAATTGAACCCTTTAAACGAACCAGTGGGCCCCCTGCAAATCGCACAATTGAAGTTATTGGCCATTAAACTTATTATTTATTATAATAAATTAAGTTAAAAAAGCATATATTACCATTAATTGCCACTAACACAGGTTGTGCTTTTCGTAACTCTTTATCCGGTAGAGTTATCAGAAGAGTTAAAATAGATCCGAAACTGGTACCGATCCAAAGTGTAGGAACAAGTGTTAAAGTATCTGTTAAATAGATTTTAATATTATATTACAGAAAATATTCAGTCATAACGGAAATTTCATACCCATCCCCTGGGGCTTCGCGCCAATTATACTCCCGGGGGAAATTACTGTGGTCGAGTACAACATGAAAATAGGATCCGCATAGTTCCTGAACACTACATTTTTTAAAATCAAAAAACTTTTACTTTCGTACTCGATGTTATTATCTATACTATATATAACAGAGGCCATCAAAAATGGGAAAAGTTGTTTGTGTGGCAAACGTTAAAGCTGCCTTTGATATACTTTTTTGTGCGGATTAAGAATCCGTAAGTATAAACTTTCCATCAGCTCCAAATTTTGAGAAAAACGAGGCCAAAGTGGCAAACAAATTTTTTTTTAATATTTTAGAAGGTCTAGCAAAGAAACAACTCTCTACTTATGCCTTAATTAAGGCTAGAACTCTCGAGTACTATCCGTGAAAATACCACCCCTGCACCTTGACTTGATGGTCACTTATGTATGTATAGTCATTTATTGAACAGCAGAAACTGATTTTGGCGAAGTTTGAGTACCTACTGCAATTAAACCAAAAGGAGGTAGAACCCTAAGCTTAAATTAAAACTTGAACTTTCGACTACAATCCCTTAAAATACGATCCCCGCCCCTTGACCTAAGGTCATTTATAAATATTTATCGAACAGCAAAAACTGATTATGGCACAATTTTGTTTCTTCAATAGCACAATTTTCCAGTATTTTTTCATTGTTCAATAATGTTTAAGCGACTTATGCATTTCCCGCATAAACAAAGAACAGCGAACACACACACGCACTTGTATTGCACTCCCGCCCAAAACCAAGTGCAGCGAATAAACACACGCACTTGTGTTTAAAAATAATTCGCTCGTTCTTCATTGCTCATTCATGCTCAACAATCTCGCTTGATGCATCACCACTCCTCCGGAGTGGTTTTAAACAGCAAAAGCCAAAGCGCTACAAGCTGTTGGGGCTCTGTATGACTTTCAGCATACAGAGGTGGTACAAAAGCTACCATTGGTCACAGCGCCTACCCAATTTTTGAACTTGAATAAATAACCGGTTCTCAACACTCCCGCTTGACGCACACCCCCAAAAACTCGTACAGAGTTTAAGCGGCAAAGCCACAGCGCTACAAGCCGTAGGGACTCTGCATGACTTACAACCATGCAGAGGTGGTAACTGATGGTTATCATTGGCTCCGACGCCTACCCAAAAAATTTTTGCTTTAATAAATTGTTATGCAAAAACATTTATCCTGGTCCTGCCTTCACACTGAGTTATTCAAATAAATGACCCTAAGTGACCATCAGGACCAGGTGAAGGGATGGTATTTTCCGTAATAGTAGTCTTGACGTCTAACTTTAATTTAAGCCTAAGAGGAAGGTCCTATTACCTTTTGTTTATTTACCAGAGCTTCTCAAATATTGCAAAATACGCGATTTTTTTTACACTTTTACCTCGTTTTTCTCAAAATCTGGACCTGATGGATAGTTTATACTACGAATTCGTAATCAGCACAAAAAAGGTCTCAAAAACAGCTTTAAAATTTGCCGCACCAAAATCAGTATTGCCTTGATAATTTATTCGATTTTAAAAATCCAACATGTTTAAAATAATGGCCATCATGCATAAAAATATATCCACAAAGATCTTAATATACATATGGTGCATGAGGACATAAGAATGCTATGCACCAGTTACTCAGCACGGTTAATGAACCGCCAAAATCGACTAGCGAGAGATATTCTTAGCCCCAGATATGCGAGAAGAATAAAAATAAAAATTTTTCCGATATAATCAAATTATGTGCAATATAATAAATTTTGATATCCGAAATATGTATGTAAATATATCAATTTCGGCTCTGGAACTCCTAACATGAAATCCAGTATCCGGGCGGCTCGGAAAGTAGTCCTTTCCGACCGAACACAGCGTACTGGGTTGTAATTAATCAAATATAGAGAAGCTAACGCGCAGACCTAGACCTTTCCACCTACCCAGGCAGCGCGGCTCAGGAAGTCGTACTTTCAGACCGTCTGTCCAGCACGATATCCAGCGATCCCGCTGCTCGGAATCTTGTCCCTTCCGACAGCCTCAACAACTGCATTTTACACATTCGCAGAGAGTCCACTCTAATATTGTTGAAATGGCTCTAAGTCTGTCTAATTAGAGTGCGGACAATAACCGGCTGTTAGCTTCAGGCGCTAAGCGGCTAAGTAGTATATCAAACAAATTGATGGGCCTTCAACAAGTACTGCTCAAAGTCTTATAACAACCTAGAAATAATTTCAGATTCCTCCAGCGAAAGTGAAGACTCGTCTAAATTGTTACCTAAAGAGAGAACAAATCGTAAATCACTGGAAAGTGTCGGTAATGCAGTGAATAGGAACAATTTAGATTGTACTTTTCAACCTAAATTGAACTGTGAAATATAAATGGGCGCGCGGTTAAGTGAACAACTATTTTTTTAGAAGCTTTAAGTAGTTTTTATCTTTTGTATTGCACAAAAAAGAAAATACAGAAAAATGTCAGTATAAATATCTTTGATTTTGGTAAAATTAAAGAATTGTGCCCGATGAGCTAGAAAAAGGAAAAAGTGGGTGTGGCTCGCCTCTTATTCTTGATTTTGATGGTATTAATTTGGTTTTGCTGCAAATTAAAAGGAGCGGTGCAAGGGGTGGTAAAAGTGGAATTTTCAATTCAATATTTTCAAAAACTTATTTTTCGAAAATTATTGAACCAATTTTGAAAACGTTGATATGGTTGGAAAGGTAATTGAAATGCCTTTCATTAAGTATGTATATCAATAAAAATAATATATGTATATTTCGACAAAAATGAGATTATGTCCTTTTTTAAATCAAAATGTATGTTCTTCTTAAAAAAATTATAAGATATGTATATCAGAACAAAACAATATTAAAAAAATAGTGAAAGTTTGGAAAACATCAGTCTTTCAATATAGTTAACTACGTATCTTTTTAAGAAAAATATACATTTTTATTTAAAAAATTGCTATTATTTAGTTTGTTTAGTATACAATATCAGGTATTTCAATTCCCTTTCCAACCCTATCCACGTTTTGAAAATCGGTACAGTAATTTTCGAAATATAAGCTTTTGAAAATAGTGAAAAGTCTACTTTTGCAAACCCCTAGCACCGCCCCTATTAATTTGCACCAAACAACTTTTATACCGTTAGAAACAATGGAAGGAGGCGAACCATGTCCACTTTTATGTTTTTATGTTTTATGTTTTCAATTATATCCAAACAATTTAGGTTGTCAAATGAACTCGCACAGTTTTAGCAGTTGTTTTCCCAAATTGTAGCAGTGTTGGAAATTTCCCGTGGAATATTAGGTTAAGTACTAAAATTTAGATCAACGCGCACACAGCCTAAAGCTCAATTGAAGGCCTATTAGTAGGAGAGCCCAAGAGGGGATTCGGGAATATACTCTAGCGCGTCAGATTAACATATGTGGGATACCCTGCATCCTGTTGAGTACCTCTGCCAAATCTATGCCATCTGTATAGAGCCGCGCGCATAGGACAGCTGATCAGAATAGAAAAAAAAGTTGATAGGTGGATTTACACGAGCTCATCAGATCAACAAATAGTGGGTTAATTACATGCTGAAAAGTGTGCATTTCAATACTCTGACGATTTGAGCGTGACGAAGGGGATTGGGAGGGTCGCAAACTTAAAAAAAAAAAAAACGTTACCTTGACATTCTCGAGCGCGGTCAATTTTTTTTTATTATGAAGCAAACAGCTGAGGATAACGGGAAGTATATAATCTGACGATTTCCACAAGCCGGAGTAACGAAAACCGTCAACAAATATTGTCGCGTGCACTTGCGGTTTTTCAAAACCCCAGCGGACCAAATGCTCGCAAATGATACCAGTCACGCTAAAGGCTTGTGTGTTGCTTCGCTGCATATGTACATAAGTATGTGCATTTCGAATCAAAACCTTTATCTAAATTTGAGCTGGGCGATGAAATTACATGTGTAATTAAATGCGTCTACGATTACGTTTACTTTAATCCCAGTTTCAAAATAGTTTGAATTAGGATTGAAAGAATCGTAAATCGAAGGAGTATTAGATTAAAATTTTATTAAGAAAAATTAGTAGCACATGATGTAACTTTTAGCTCAACAAATATCAGTCAAAAATTACTTTTTTAACTTATGTACAGTCAGTCAATAAAGTTAAGGTACAGCGAATTTTTTACAATACGAGCAACTATTTTTTAAATATTTTATTTTTCGCTAATTTTTTATAAAAATATGGTTAATTCTACAATAAATACCCCAAAAATCAGAATTCCAAACCTTGTGTAAAATTAAAGAAAATTCTGCAAAATTTCATTCAAATATTGTACTTTTTATTGGCGCTCTCTAGAAAAAGTTGAGTATGCAGTTTTTAGCCCATTAAATTTAAGTATAACAAGTGCTTTGAGGTAGCTAGGACTTACCATAGATTTTCAGCAATTTTTTTTAAGGTATCGCTCATTTTCTCCATATAAAATAATGTTTGATAATTTTTTTACATATATGGAAAAAATGTGCGACACCTTCAACAAAAAAATTTCCCAAAAATCAATAGTAATTCTAAGTTGTTGTAGAATTAAAAATATTTTTATAAAAAATTATCGAAAAATAAAATATTTAAAAAATAGTTGCCCGTATTGTAAAAAATTCGCTGTACCTAAACTTCATTGATTGACTGTATGTAAATTTTACTAATTTCTCAGCTAAAATCACTAGCCATACGAATTTGTATGTAAGAAAAACACGCATTTCTCAGTTAATTTTGAATTCGGCAACCTTAAGTTTACTTATACATGAAGAAATTTGGAACTCCGCTCCCTTCTTGCTCACTCTTTTTACAGACTTGCTGCATGATAGTTGCACGGATAAAATAATAATTGTTTACAATAATATATGTTTGGTTCACTGTGCATCTCAGAAACGAAATTA